GAGGGGAAACATTGAAATCAATTAAAATCTCTCATCTATAAAAAAATCCTTGCTTTCCTGTATCCAGAATTAGCTGATGAACTATTCCAATGTATTTTAACTATAATAGTTCACCCGAAAATTTTTATCCCTCCCCAAAGCAAGGAAAAAATAAAGTAAATTCATATAAAAATTTTACCTTGAAACAATCCAAAGAATTGAAAACGTAAGCGAAATATATATATAATCAAGTGATAAAGTTAAATTAAAATTAGATCACGGAAAAGGGCAACTTTCCAATTGGAAATACTCAAATAAATAAAATAAAAAAGAAAAATGAAACAAAAACAATTCAATCTCAGATTAGATAAAGGTCCAGGCTTTCATATAAAAATAAAATTATCTTTGCATTTATATAATATCAAAAGGCACTTACCTTATAAAAAAAAGAAAGAAAAACAACTCATATCTTTTGAGATATTTTACCTTTCCAAATATTCTGACACCAGAGATGCTTGATGCAGACAAGCAATGCCTAGCAAAACATCGGGTAACAGCTCCACTAAACAGCTTTATGTGGGTTCCAAAATCTTGTCCACATACGTATATGTGACCGGTTGGCATATTTCAAAAGTGCACATCTGTGTAGCCACCAAGGGAGTTGCTTCTAGGATAGACCAATGGGCATCCAGTAATATTTCTGTCATGTCACCTGACCTTTCGCAAGCAAGATGGTTGAAAATATTCTGCTACGCAATTTTCTGTACAAAATAATTAAAGCATCGTCGAGTTCTCCTGAAAATTTGCATTGCACAGTTAAATCAAATATAAGCAACTAGGAAGATTTCACTACCTGGTTGAAAGAATTTGAAATAAACACATGTTGGATACTACGCAAAAATATCCCATGAGAAATATTAATTAAGTGGTAAATAAGATTAAAAAAATATTTATACCAATTTATATATGTAAATAGAAGTCGGGACCTTTTTTTGCAGTCTATATGAAAAAGATGTCTTATAATAATAGTCAACGCAGAATTTTATTCAAAGTTAACTTTACTAATTTGCATTCATTAAATTTCACATTTAATAACTGCTCACTCTTACATGTACTGTCTAAACAAGAAATACTCATCAAGCAGAATAAATTTATCTTATTCACAATGAATATATTCAATTTATTCACATATAACTTTTAATGTTAACAATGGATATAATCAGATCTTGCACAATATGTATTTTGAATCTTACACTTTAAACATCAAAAGAATACAAACACTGAAATAAGAAAACACTAGATTCATTATAATACTTCCAGTCCTTCTCAGCTTAGTTTAAAAAAAAAAAAAAAAAACTATACACTTGAATTGTAGCTTGTAGCTTGAGTCATTTTCTCGATGTAAAGAGCGATAATACACCGTTAACATCAATCCAAATATTAATGCGCGATAAAAATCACGAAAGTGAAATGTCAGCGATTAATTAAACTCAGAAAACAAAAGCACTACGAGATTTTCTACTATTACGCCATACATTTATAACTGCGAAACAAATGCAAATTAAAACATAAACAACATATGCTCACATGCATGAAGATTTAGCATCACAAGAATCAATAGAAGTTCATTGGTCCATTTTCGAAGCCCCTCCCTCAGTGGCTACGCTGATGTGCACTTGTGAAATATGCGAGCAGTTGCGGAACCTCTATCAAAAATATACAACTCGGTGCGGCCAGTTTTGTTTCAATCCATATCAGTTAACCGATTTCATGGAAATGAGATCTTTCATGAACAACGGAAAGCACATCACTCAATGCCTTTGGCTCAGAACACACCTGGAATCACAGTTTAGGCATTAGTTCAGTAAACAGTATAAGGTCCAAATTCTCTTGCCTCCAATTAACATGGTGACGACAAAAATCTGTTTAGGAGATGAAGAGAGTGGAACATAAACTATTGGTTTTCCATCTATAAGACTAATCTTGTGTTGTTCTGCTGAATCTTCATTCAACAGCAGAACAGAATCGTTCATTCGTGCTTCGTATGGCAGCCTGAAGATCTAAAACCAACATTTTTTTTTTTTTTTTTTTTTGAAGCTCAGATTTTAAGCGTGAAGGTGCATTTGCCCCTCGCTCCCTATTTTTAACTTCGCTAATATTTCTTGTCCTTTATGCTTGATCAGATAGCCTGGCTCAGTAAAAGTAGGCGGCCAGTGCAACTCTGATTAAAAATCCAGTTATAACCACGTGCAGTGCTGATAAGGACCACGTGTTTCTGAGACTCCTTCCCCTTTATTTTCTTCTTTTCAGGTATTTCTTTCTCCTGATGAGGAGGGACCTTTAGCTGCCCTCGAAATCAATTGAGTGTTTCAATATACTTACGCTAAATACAAGGTTGTTTTTACAATTTTGATTGTCACATTAGCGTGTTTCTCTTCTAGTCAACACTTTTGTATTGCTTTACTTGTTCTTCGAGTTAGTAACAAGAAAAAATGGTCTTCGGCTGCATTTGTTCCTCTTAGAAAGCTTAAGGGAGGTCTTCCACTAATTAATTCACTGCCTGAAAAAAGCAGTTCTAAATTTTTTATATGACACTGTGGGGAATATTCTGATTTTGGGCGACGTTCATTTGCATTTGCCACCGTCTAATCTACCAATAGCCTTTTTCATTTAAATGATGTTTGAGTCAAAATTAATGAATATTGATCACGCTTAAAAACTAGATTAAATTTAAACAGCATCCGAATTCCAGTATTCATCTATTGTGCAACACGTTGTCAGCCGCCTAAGTTACTTATTTTATGCTCAGAAGTCTAATTTTGGGCTCAGATGCAATTAATTTAGACCACTGGATGTGGGTTTAATCCATCCTTTACAACCATAAAATTTAGAGAAAGAAACATTCACTCACATTTCACGGTGAAAATGTATGTTTCAGGTTACATACTGGATATAACAGAAACTACATAGCAGTGTTGAAGTCTCTAATTGAATATGAGTTTTTAGCACTCATAAAATAAGGCTCAAAAGGAAATGCAAATGTAAATTATTTATCATCGGCAATATGCGATGAATTAATCGAAATTACTAGCGAAAAAAATTATGAACACCTTTAAAAAAAGTGTTAAGAAATCGAAGTACTATGACTTAACTGCTGATTCCACAACTGATATAACACATAATCTTAAATGTGCTACCATACTGCATTATTTGTCAGGCCATGGTCAATACTGGAGCATTTTTTTTTTTTTTTTTGCTTCTTACTTACTTATTCGGCTAGTTGATGCAACATTGATAATTGCGGATAAATTCGTTAGACTAAAAAAAAAAAAAATTAAAGCGATAGATGTAAAATCTATAGTTATGCAGCAAACATGCCCGGTTAGTTTAAAGGTCTGCAAGCAGTGGTGAGAGGCCAAAAATATTGGTCATAAGAAATATTTTCCCGCCTTTCTACTGCGTGGTTTGGTGATTAGATTTTCCCTTACTATAGATGCTACATCTCTCTCACCAACATGAACATTTGAATGACTGGCAGAACTGACTGATATGTTCAACATACACATGTTGACTTATTAATTTAGATTAGGTTACAGGGTGAATACAGCAATGTAATTTATGAATATGAAGGATTATTTTTTAAAATAAATATACTGTAAAAGTATAAAGGGTTGGTGAACAAAAAGAACATTTAAAATAATAAAATATATATTAAAATAAATTATAAATGTTAAAAATTAGGAATCTATAATGTAATGCCTTAAAACTGCCCCTAAGATCTAGTATGTAGCAGTTAACGCACTCCAAAATTAACTTATAAGAGCATGTAATATTCACTACCTTCTGTGCGGGAGCACCTGATGAAGAAGAATACAAAAGGTTTACTGTTCTCCGTCCATAATGTTTAGTGGGAAAATATTTCGTTAATTTACTATTGATTTTATTTTCATTAGAACATACACCAAATAAAGGTTGAGGTGCTGGCAAGATCAGGGAATTTTCCTCGGAGGGCATGGTTAGGGCAATTTGCCCTATATTTAAGTTGGAATTTTATTTCTTTTCCAGTCATGGTGGGTTCTTTCTAGTTACGTATTGGTTTGCCAAGTTAGTCGGTATGTCTTTAGTTTACAGATTAGGTTGGGTTACGAGTGGTCACCTCATGGCTCAGCATCAGCCTGATGTGTAACTATTTTACTAGCAGTTAATCCAGGATGTCCCTCTTCGGTAAGTTAATTTCATGACTGGCAGGGTAAAAATTGTTTTGCCTACTATATTCATTTTCACCAATTTTTTATTTACTTTTTTTTGGACATTTTTCAACTGCTTCTCCTCATTGTTGCAACATCCAGGTGTGAGAAAACAGCTATGTCTGGTCTCATGTTCAGCATCTTACTCTGGATACTTTCCACTGTTTACTTTAAAGTATACTCATTTAACAGCACTAAGTTTTGCCACATTAGGCTAAGTTACAGTGGATTAGCATCTGATTTCAAACGATATTTCTCTGCATCACGGGATTCATCGAGTTAAATATATTCTATTTCAAACTAATACACTGACTAGATTTCTATACAATTTTTTTTTTCTAATTTCTAAGGCAACAAAGCTGTTTGGAGTTTAAAAACAAATAAATAAATTATAAAATGATCTTCATGCCTTGGAAGTTTTTACAGAGTTCATATTAAGCAATGCCCAAACAGTAAAAATAATGTTATTCTTATCAGTTAACTGCTTAATTATTGCTGTCTGTATTATTTTATACTAATATCTCTGCCTTTCAACAATTTTCAACAAGTGATAAGGGTTGTTAAAATAGCACTTCTTTTGAATTTTACCCAGCACAAATTATATGCCTTTGGTTTAATTAACATGAAGGTTTTTTTTTTTTTTTTTTTCTTTTAGTTTAATTTTGATAACACGACTATTAAAAAGAGTAATTGTCCAGAATCTTCAATAGCCCAAGTGGAAAGAAAACTTGAAAAATAAAATAAATGGAAAAAAGTAAATAAAGGCTCCCAAAACAAACTTATTTACAAATTTATTCAATAAAAAATTAAAATTAACACATTAGACATTTTTTAATGAAAGTAGAGGCAAACATGGCCACTTAGGTGGCTGATTTATATCACAAATACGCTGAATATTTATGTTCATGGCAGTTTCTAATCCAGCAATAGTGCTAAATGCATCTCCATACCAAACTTGCATCATCTCCTTTTTCAATTGAAAATCATTACCTGCAGATAAATCCTCATAGTTCACTGAAAATAAATAAATATATAAAAGCAGTCAATAAAAAAAAGCAGAACTTTCAATGAATTTAAAATCATTTAATATTCACAGTCTTAAACTATACTAACATTGTACACACACTTAAACTGAAACCAAAAGAATAACTCAGAAACCAAAAGAATTACTTGTTCTGAGTAATGATTCAAATTACATTATATTAAATTAATCATAAAAGCTTTAAGTCATTGATCTACTTACTGGCTGATGTAATTCAGTTACATTTGGAAGCAAATATATGACTTCAGTGATTCTACATTGAAATTACTTGACATCATGGTTTTTTGATGCATGGTTTTATGTCAGCTTTCTGTGGCAGGTTTTTGAATTTCACAAGTTTCATCACTTACAGAAACAGTGAACAAAATGTTTTCATAAAATCTGTCCTTAAATACTACTCCATCCATAAAGATTAAAAACTGAATTACAATAATCAAAAATACTTTGGCGAATATATTTATATTAAATGGTTAGCCTAGATGACTGATTACTATTTTTTATTTTACTGCAAAATGGCAAGGCATAAGAAGTTAAAAGATTTGTGATAAAATCCTAGTATACGGTACAGCCTTGGCACAATTTTGAAAATTGCTGCCAACATTAAAATAACCTGTTTACTGCTTATCATAAATGTCCAGTTTACTGCTTGTCATAACATCACCAAATCCTGTGTGTACCGTATACTAAGATTAAATCGAATTTGCTTTATACGAGAATGGGAGGGTATTTCCTTTTGTTCAACTGGAACTTGCTTTTGGTATTTCTTTTTGTTTACTGAAAACTTGCTTTGCCTTTCCAAAAGACAATCTGATTGAAGCTGTGAAAATTGGTTCTATGCCAACTGCCTAAGGGATACTCATGCAATACATTCAAGAAAGTGATCACTTCCAACAGTGGCGTAAAAATCGCTTTTTGGGGGCATCGCCGTTTGAAATTCCCCGACTTTTCCAGATTTTGACTAAAATATTTAAATTATCTGACCTTTCTCTGACATTTTAAGTCAATTTTCAAATTCCCTTACTTTTTCCTGTTTTTCAGGTAAAGTGGCAACCCTTATATGAATAAATACAAAGTAAAAAGTACTTTTCATTGTTCCTTAGCCAAGTAATTCGATGTTTTTTTCTTTTTCAAATTATTCTTTTTTTTACTTCTACACATTTTATGTTGCGAAAGAAGTTTTTTCATTATTTTTGTTGCATTAAATCAGTTTAAAATTTGTAGTTTATATAAATTTACTACTTAATATTCAAGTGAATATATTTTTTCATTTCAAAATTTTTGTTGCTATTGTGTCACAGGTTTTAAGAAATAATTCCTCTATTTTTTAGACCAAATTTTCATTTATTTTTTCATACGTTGAATTACTTCTGTTTTACATGTTTTTGACTTGGTCCAATCAAATTGTAAACTATTATTCGATTTATAAGCTTTACCGATTGTTTATGATTTACGCTATTTTTTTTTAACCTGACCTACATGTTTTCAGACTTTGCACAGCGTTTTTCCTTTTTTCAAATACTGGATTATAAAATTTGCAGAAATTTTTGTTTTCAAGTATTGGATAATCATTTTTGCAAGCTTTGTTTTTGGATTCAACCTATTCAAAATAACATTTTAAATTTGTCCATTTTTTTCACAATCTTTCTGAATTAGTCTATGTTTTTGATGCTATAATTTTGCAATTTCTTCCACTGCCTACTTCAGCCTATAGGGGATGGACTCATAAAGACACAGATTACTTTTACTGTTTTTCTCAGACTATGCTTGAGTTTTAAACTTTAATTTGTGTCTCTCTCAGTTCAGAAACAGACTGTTTCATTCATTTATCTCTTTCATTGCACCAACTGATGTGATTTACTCCAAATTGAATATGTGAATAAATTTTAAACATATTTTTTTTTTTTTTTTATTTTGCATACATACACCTCCCCCCCACAAATACATATATATGTCCCATTTTAAATATAAATTTAAAACATATTTCAGAAACAAATTAATTTATGAGGTAGCACTTATCAAAAATACTATTTCAAGAACATAAATAATCATTTTGTTGTGTTAGCAATCTTTTGTACTTCTGTATATATTTAAGCTGTTGATAATTTTATTCATATGCTCACTCTTTCATTCAGCAATTTAAACTTATCTCCATAAAAACAGTAATTTTTTTTAACACTTGCTTTTTTTACTATGGACTTTTGGATCACGAAAATTTTAATTAAATTTAAGAAAGCTATAAACATATTCGGAATAACTTACTATCGTTTTTACTTTCTAATTCAACAAATTCAAATTCTTCTTTACTTGAATTTTCTGAAAACAGAAACAGAATTTATTGATGACATATGTTACCTTAAGCTGTAATACAAAAAACATCATAACACAAGAAAATTAACTATAGAAATGCAGCCATATTAAATTTGCAAGCAAAATTTATTCTCCTAAAACTAAACAATATTTCTATAAGCTGATAATATTTATAACAGCAATAAAGAATAATTTATTTGAAAAATACAAATAGCCAAAAAATTATTCCACATTAAAATTTTAAAACTAATCTTATAGGTTCAGATTTTTTTTTTTGGGGGGGGGTGTATGTGTATGAACATTTTTTATTTGCTGATGATATCATACCAGGATGATTTAAGATTTTTTTTTGTCTGAACTGTTTTGTTATTTTTTATTTTGCCCTTTCATATTTTCTAATAAAACCAATTATTTATAAAGAATCTCAACTGGAAAAAAAATTCTGCTAACTCTCTGCAAAAAGTTAATGTATAAAATTATAAGCAGTTATAAAAGTCTTCATTCATCTCATAGATGTTCACAAATACAATAATGTTATGCATCTAACTGCTGCTTAATATTATTTAACTTTAAGGATTTCCTGGATACTTATGTAACCCACAGACTGCAAAAGTTGGCTACCATCGAACCATTAAAGTTGGCAGAGATCTCACCAAAGTTCCTATAGAATTTTGAAGAAATCGATATCTCTTTATTTAATAAACAATCAGTATTCGATCTGCTTTGTTTCTGCTCTTTATAAAAAGGCTTTCTGCAATTTCTACTATTTTGTTAGGCCCTCCATGAGCTCTGTTTTGCAACTGATTATATTGTATCCCATTAATACACACTTTTTTATGGTAAAATCACATATTAAAAATAATCAACTGCTTGCTGCTCTATAGTAGGCAGGCCACAAATTCGAATCATATTTCTAAAAATGCAAGTGAAAAAAATACATCATAGGTAGCTTACTCTATTAATAATCAATTGGGATTATGTCAAACGAAACTGCAGATGCTATGAGTGTGTTGTGACATCATACTTATATACACTGGCACTATATCAAGCTACTTGGCTACAGTTTCACAGTTGACTGGATAATACACCCTGCTTTTTATGTCTGCTTATTTTTAAAATTATGAATACAACCTAGAATAAAATAATGTAGGTACTTACATGAATATGGTACAGAAATTTTGAGTTCTCCTGTATATATTACCATTAATCCATATAATCTGAATAACCTTTACCAGATGGAGATTTATTGTTAAAAAAAACATTAAAAAAATAAAAAATATCTTCAATTGAAATAAATGGGAATTCTGCAGTTACATAACTTATTTTCGTAAGACAGCAAATAATTTACAGCTTACTCAATATCATACTAATGGTTTGTTACTTATATGAATGAAAACTAAATATATAATTATATAAAACAATATTATACTACCAATATTGTATTAAGATTTAATTACATACAAATTAAACAATTTCCTTTTAAATATCTTTAAACATTTATCATAAATTGCAATGAAATAGTTTATTTTTGCCTTTGCATTTTGGATCTTCCAGACTGCTGCTACAAAAAGCGTATATTAGTTGTGAAACAGCATGACATGTGAAATCAAAAGTTACATCAAATTTTTATTTTACCTTAATATCACAAAGAAAAAAAAAAAAAAAAAAAAAAAAAAAAAAAAAAAAAAAAAAAAAAAAGAATAATGTGATTTCAGAATACATTATGTGATTACACACATTTGTATTGTATTTTTTATTATATTAGTATTTTTTATTATATCATCATATTTTGAACAGATATCACTCTTAATGTAATTTTTATTGCAAGAGGAAAAGACAAATATTTTAAAAGCTTACCTTGTTTTAAAATGTACAATGGATATATAGACAAGCCCCATTATAGCAAACCTGGTTTATAAAGAACTTCCAGATATAAATGAAGGAATGTTTTGGTTCTGACAAATTTCTTAACACATACATGTTATTTTATATTGCTACAGCAAATCTCGAAAAGTATGAAAATCAGATATAACAAACTATATAGATAGCTTCAACTGAAACTTTTGTATTTTCCCTATTTTTGTCCAGAATTCAGCATGCTTTAACAAAGAAATTACTGATACTTAAAACCAGCTGAATTTAGAAGGTTGGTATTCACATGCCATCCATAAGGAAAAACACCTTTATGTTACTGTTCTTTTATCTTCATTGAATTCTAAACAAATAGTTTCGCTCTTCTTTGTTAGGAGCGGTCTTAGCCCTCATACCTTGGAGTATTTTATAGTTTCTTCATACTTGGCCTGTACTGCCGTAGCTTTAGCGTCGGTTTGCTGTCACTCCTTTTCGGCGACTTCCATGGCTAAATTCTCTACACAAGCAATCAGTTGATCCACTGGCTCTTGGACATGAGCAGCTCTGACTGGGTGGCTGTCTAATTGGATACAGGGGTGAGAGAGAAATATGATGTCCAATTTTAAGAAAGTGAGGACACAATAAAAATACCTTAGGACACCATATGGTGTGTATGTTACAGTAAAAATAATAAATTCGGTGATTATATAAAATTATACATAATTTATATAAAAAAAATTATACATAATCACCACTAAATTTGGTAAATATGATAAATTATGTCATATTTATCAAATTTACTGGTTAGTTTATAAAATCCCCAACTCATAATGGGGAATGTGATAAAAGTCCCTAACTTTACAAAAATTCTATTTCATATTTATCAAATTTACCGGTTAGTTTATAAAATCCCCAACTCATAATGGGGAATGTGATAAAAGTCCCTAACTTTACAAAAATTCGTTCAGTTTGCACAACTGCTTGGCTTCTATCAACGCATGACAACCACATGATTTCAGAAGTAGTTCTCATTTCGTTGCGTGTAGACATTTTTTTGCTACCCTCTTGTAAAAAATAAAACATTGAATAATGGCTGTTATGCTTGAACGTTTTAATTCCAAATTACTTAATATTATGGATACTAAGAAAACAAACAGTGGTTTTTCTGATGAAAGAAAGATATGATGATTTGTTAAAAAAAGTGAATAGTAGAAACAAAAGTAGTGGGAAAAAACCGGAAGATTATCAGAGACTAAAAAGATATGATGTAATGAAAGTAGGCAATGTTGAAAAACTTATCTTTCCTGTAAGTGAAGACAGCTCCAATGTTAGATTTTATGCATACTTTGAAGAAATTTTTACCATAATTCATGAGGTAGACTTATCAATAAGCCATGGTGGTAGAAACAGGATGTTAAAAGAACTTCAAAAAAAGTACAAAAACACTACAACCAAAGAAGTCACGATTTACTTAAATTTGGGTGAAAGTTGTCAAAAAAAAACCAAGGTACCTAAGAAAGGACTTGTTGTTAGGCTAATGGTCTTTCAAGAGATGAACTCAAGATGCCAGGTGGACTTAAATGACATGCAGTCGCAACCAGATAATGACATTAAGTTTATATTTGTCTATCAAGACCACTTATGATCACAATATGGCTACGTCGGATACATGCATATGCGGGGAAAGCAGAGACCCTGAAAATTACATGTTCCAGTGTCCGCTAATGTCAGCCCATCACATTCGCCATCCCACCGACACTGGAATAGAGTTTAGAAGATTCATTATTAAGCACCGTAAAGTTTTCCAAAACATCAAAAATATTATTGATTTCTTGCACCGCCAAGGACTGGACCTGTGTCATCCATAGCTTACACTCCAAATAATCCTTTAATAAACCTTCAATAATCCTTCAATAATAAGTTCATAAAACGCAACAATAAGAATATCCACTCTCACCCTCATACTATACAGGAGTGCCTTTAGAAAACACACTTAAATGTATTCATTTATTGAGACAACCGTACATACTACGAACTATGAACTACTTCATACTGTGCAATGTGTGACAGATGCACCAGTACTACGTACTCAACACTATGTACCATGAAATGAATTCATAAACTGTACGCTGTACTATGGACTGCACTATGGATGAGAACTTATAAACTGTGAATCGTTTAACAAAAAAACCGAACAAACAACGAACCACATACCATAAACACTAACCCCCCCACCCGCCAACAAAGCTCCAAACCGAAACACAAAAGAAATATGTATATACATCTTTAAATAACTTATTGTAATTATTGTATCTATCCATCTAACTGCAAAGTACTTGTGTAAAGTATATCTGAGACAATATTGTCTGCAATGCAAATTATGCACCATTAATATACAGGGTGATTATAATTAAAGTTTAAGTTTCAAAACGCTATAATAAAAGAACCACTGATGAAAATGATGTGAAATTTGAAAGGAATGTTATTGAAGAAGGCGGAAAGCGTATGGCAGAAGAAATAATTTAGTTTCAAAAGTTAGCAACAGATGGCACTGTAAGCGGCAGAATCACGACGAGAAACAAGAAATGATTCGTAAAACAACGGCTAAGGTGGAAGTTACACATTAAAACGCATTGACAAATTAGAATTGTTGAATAATTTCATTTGCATGACTGTACGTATCACATCGAAAGGGACAAATCGGTTTCAAGAGTTTTGCGGCGACATACCGCATAAGAACCATTCATCAAAGAAGTTCGGAACTGTTGCGAGACTTGTGCAAAACATGTTCAATATGGTATCCACTGTTGTGTGCAACAAGTTGAAAGCGACAAACAGCATGTTCCACAACGGATTGCAGTGTCTACGGGGTGATGTTCAGAATGTGTTGCGAAATGCGTGCCTTTAATTCCGCTAAATTTGCAATTGGAGCACGGAACACAACATCCTTCAGATATCCCCACAGCCAGAAATCACACGGAGTAAGATCAGGCGATCGGGACCGCCAGGCTGTAGGGCAATGATGGCTGATGATTCGAGCATTTCCGAAATGGTGCCTCAGCAACTGCTTCACGGGATGTGCAATGGGCGGAGGAGCACCATCTTGCATAAAAATGATTTCATCCACACATCCACGCTGTTGCAGAGCTGGAATC